TTTATAAATTATCACTAATAAGCATTGATTTCTTATCACCCGGATATAAATTGATCCTGTTCACACAATAATTTGCTAGTTTATCAATGTAAAGTAACAACCCTATTAGCAATACATTGACAGTTGTTTTACACACTCTTAGAGTTTAAACTTAAATCTAGTCTTAAAGCTATGCAAACATTTTTCAGTAAAAATTATTTATGCAAACAATTTCATAGCAATTGTTTTGTTACAGTTTTTTGCCAAATATTTTTATTAGAAAGAGAGAGAGAGAGAGAGAGAGAGAGAAAGAGAAGGCTTTAATAAATATCAGGTAGATTCTGGTGTCCATTGACTTAAAATGTAATTATTTATATAAGACGAGTACATTAACAGCTCGGTAACGCGGCTTACAATAAAAGTATAACAAATTTTATAATGAAAAATATTAATTTTATTTTTCAAATTAATAACATATAATAATTTTACACAGTAACATTAACTAAAAGATCAGTTTGAACAATTTATGCGTAGCCTTTCTTAATTGCTTGGGTCAGCGGGAATTTGGTGGTTGAAGCCAAACCGTTAAAGTCGTCGTTATTGATGGCCTGAACGGCAATACCGCCCAAACCGGCGCTCTTAACCCACGCGCCCTTAGCCTCAGCGGTCTTTGTGTCCTCAATGGAGACCCATTGGTCACCCTTATAATAGTAGGCGGCGCCGAGTGCTCCGTCCTCTTTGCGAGTCCAACCGGTCGGGTCGTCCTTCAAGCGCAACATCAACTGTTCATGGTAAATTAAAAATTGATATTAATTGTATATTCGTACTTTGATGGTATAGTTAAATACAGCTAAATATAGTATACTGTATAATGTGATTAAGTTACTATCTAATTTATATTAATTAAATCTTATTTTGGTATTTCAATAATTATTAATTGTATAAAAGTATTTTCTGTTTGGTTTTAACCATATTAAATTATTTATGTAATACTGACCTCGTTGACACCCAATTTACCGGGTGAGTCGGTGAACGGTCCCTTAGTGCCGGCACCTTTAGCGGGTGAGCCCGGATCGGTCTTGGTGGTGTCGGTGAGGGTCCATGTGTGGCCGTACGCGGGCACAGTAACCTTGGTGATTGGATTGAGATGAGTGAATAAGTGTATAAAATTATATTAAATTTAATAATCATGATCAAACTTACAATAGTTTTCTCTTTGGTTGCGCCATTCTCGACCCATCGGTTTACGCTGATTTTCTATGGTAATAAAATAATTGTTAAAGTGCTGTACTAAAAATTATTTGGAAAATTTAAAAACAAAATATTTTGTATAATTTACTAAAATAAAAGTTAAATTTTATCATTAACTAAATAATTAAGTGAATTTGCTTTTAAATGCAATCAAATTAGATCACTATAATTATTTCTAATTGTCTACTCTATTCAATAATTAAGTAATAAATAAAATAATATGTACCTGATCCTCGATGGCAGATGAGTGACCGACTTCAGTATTCCATGAGCCGTGATAGTCAAACGATTGGATAATGATCAAGTCAACTTGCCTAATATAAATAGCACAATAATTAATAAATTTCAATATAAAATAAAACAATTAATTAATGTTCTAATATAAAAACTTAATTATAGATAAAATAAAATAACAACATGGTCACTCACTCGGCAACACTCTTGATATCATAACCGGGCTGATCGGCGGCCAAAACGGTGCCCAACACCCACTTATTGGGGGCGAACGCCTCCTTCAAGTGTTTCAACAAGGTCACGTAGTCGGCCATGTACTCGTATTTCCAGTGGTTGGACGACCATTCAATCACGGCACCATCCAGGGCGTATGTTTTCAAATGATTGACCAGGCTGGTGGTGAATATGGTCGGATTCTGGGCGGCGTAGGTCAAGTTCAGGGCGAAGTTGAAACCGCCAATACCCATCAGTGACAGGTCTGAGCCTTTGTCGTGACCCCAATCGTACAATTGATCTGGGTGCAAAATAAAAATGAAATTATTTATTTTTAAATGAGCTTAGTGAATTAATTTGTATTATTAATTAGGGTATATTTACGGTATGTAGTGCTGGTCTCGAGCCAGGGGTCGCTGATGAGCACTTCGGCCGATGAAGACACGCCATTGTATCCATAGATACGGTGAGTGCATAGCGTGTTGTCTATATAATTGATGTACATTGTTAATTTAGGTTAGGTTGTATTATTATATCAAAACTTACCAAACTGTTTCACTTGCATTGCTCCTGCTCCATGAGACGGGTAGGCAACTATACAATATAACCAAAAATGATTTATTATTATTGATTTAATTTATTAATTGTGACAGAAAAATATACTAAAGTATAAAACAAAAATAAATACTATAGTAGTATATTTTTAGTAGCTACTTTTACTAACTGTAAAAACAAAATTACAGTTTTACATATTTGTGATTTTGCTTTTAATAATAATATTTATTATCACTCATTTAATTAATATGATTAAGTTACTGTATAGTTAACTAGACAGTGGTAAATTAAATATAGCAAATTAGTAACTTACACCAGCTCTCATAATAGCAAAGGATCTTGGGCTCGGCGTGGAGTTGTCCCAAACACACCAACAGCATACACACTGCGAGGCAGGCCTTCATCATTTTCAATTAATTATATGTTATTAATTAAAAATAAAATATAATGATTTATGATGAGTAAATTTTGTCCTTATATACATTTTTAAAAATTATCTACCAAGGCTAATTGCTGATCAAAATTGACATTTGTTGTTTTTGTTTTACCTGGATTTTCTTAGAAAAGCTATGGATTATCAAATTATTACTTCGTTTGTAATATACCCCTATTTTAGTAGACTATTAATACATAGTGTGCTTGAGTGTTGTAACTTTACATTGATAAACTAGCAAATTATTGTGTGAACAGGATCAATTTATATCCGGGTGATAAGAAATCAATGCTTATTAGTGATAATTTATAAAAATATAATGTTTGGCAAAAAATAATTAATTGTAAATGTACTAGTTTACCAAGAAATGTTAATCCACAATCTACCAATATCAATTGAGTGATTTTCTAATTATAATCATAAAACATTGTACTGTTGCTATTGTGTTTAGCAACCTAGAACTTAATTCTATATACAACTTTTTATAATTTTGTTGGGAAGTTACTTGTGTAAAATTCTCAAGGTAATTCGGTACGTTTGTTATTTGCAATAGTGAAGTATGTTGGATATAATTCTTTACGAACTAATAGTATTATGGTCAAAGTACTAACTTATGTTGTTTATTAATTTGTTAATTTATAGATACTAGACACTTGTACCTTTAACTTTATTTGTAATACTTGTTTCTAATAAATTAATTTTTATAAGTAATAAAGTTTCAATTTTTAATAATTAAAAATAATCTTAATATTTATTTAAATAATAGTAAAATTTAATTTAATATTGATAAACAAAAAATAAATTTTATCTTTTCAAAATTTTATAATACAGTGCCACAAAATCTTTATATATACAAGCATTATATTTATAACATTCATGTTTTAAAAATAATATCTTATTTTTTAAATACTGCATCATTAAAATATCTAAATGTACATGTTAATTCATATGTACAACATTTTTTACAAACTTTGTTTATCATAATAAATAATTCTTGTTAATCCGGTAAGCTACAATATCTTATAATAAATTCTATCTACTCATGAATAGGGATAGGACTTAAATTTTTTTATATACATTGCAACATAACGTCATACATGGGATTTTACCTTAAAAGCATTACTAACGGACACAGACCTATTAACAATTTTGATGTATATACAATATTACACTTTAATATATACTTTTTTGTACCAAAAATGTACTAAAGTCCCATCCGTACTCATGAATGCACATAATCTTTTTAAACCAAACGTGTAAAATCAAATAATAAGAAATAACATTTTGGTCATGTAATGCACTAAACAACTATACTATGTCAACAACAATAACATCTACACTGGATCTAGCAATAAATGTTTTTACAATAGAGTTTCAATATATAATTAATTAATATAATAATCTGTGATACGAATGCTTATTACAAAACAGGTATTAATATGGCTCTAATTTTCAAGATAACTATATTACTTTTAAATCTTATTTTATTACATGTAGTATTTAACTGGCTTAATTAATAATGTTAAAAATTTCAACTATTTGTTTATTATTTCAATGTTATTTAAGATCAATGTCTTTCATGATAAGAAATAGCATAGCGATTTAAAATTGCTAAAACAAGTATAAATCATACGATATATTAACCGTTTTAGAATGTTAAAGGTAATTATGAATAATTGTAATTATATTATACCCCTTAATTTTTGAATAACTTTAAAACTATAATATTTAAAACTATAACTACAATAGACAATTTAATACTGAAAAAGTATATAGTAATGTTCTTTATATCTCATTAATAGATTTTGATCAAGTGGTATACATAATATGGTGACGTGGTAGAACCACTATGCTACAGACTAAAATAATTTTTAATTCACAATTTATGAAACAAAAACCTTTGTTTAATTATAAAACACAAACCCATTTGTACATTTACACAATCGAATATGTACATTTAAAAATGCGTGACATTTAAGATTTGTGTTAATTTTAAAATATGGTAATGTTTGTTTAATTAAAATAAATTATCTAATTATAAAAAATTGTTGTATAAAGTTTAAAAGAATAATTTTGGTTTAATAATTTTATTTTCGTTTAACAATTTTCAATACAATAATATTTCACTGACACTTCAAATCGTGCCAAACGCCGGGATATTTTTCAGCGATCCAATGGTTACTACTATCGGTGCAATTAAACGTAACATCAAATATAACATTCTTGGGATTATCGCTCAAAAATTGGCCGAAAACGGGACGCTCTAAACGAGTAAAATTTTTCCCTTCAAGATATAAAGCGGTCGGTTGTCCGATGGACTCAAACGTAAGGTCAGCCAATCCTTGGGCGGCAAAAACAGTGCCCCAGATTTTAATGGTCAGTGTTTGGTCAGGTGCGGCGGCGGGTCCCACAGTGAACGCACGCTCAGCAATACGTACGGTCTCTTCGTTGTAGTCCAGTCGCATGCGCTCGAGGGCCGGCAAATTATTAAACGCACCGGTACCGATAGTGACTATATGGTTGTTCTCTAGGTTTATCTCGGTCAAATTGCGCAACCCTGCTATAGCCAGCGTGGGTATAGAGCGTACGCCAGTGTGCGAGAATAACAGGTACTCCAACGCCGGTTGTGAACGAATGGCACCGAACAGATCCCACTCGTGATCGGCACCGGACACCACTTCGGTTAACGATTCCGCGTACATAAACTGTAGGTCACGGACACCTGTGCCGGCAAATGCATGCTTATGTATACGCTTAACATTTCTGCCGGTAACTTGGATTCCTTGGAATTGTAAGCCACCAAACGCCTGGGCCGGCAGGTCAGTCTCGGTCATGGACTCCAACACTATGGACATGAATTTTCTTTTATCCGCCGGCAGTTTAGCGCTTAAGTCGCCTAAGATTTTGGTTACATTTGCGTTGTTTTTGCATTTTATATAGCAATGCTCATCGGGACGTTGAGAGTCTATATACGAGCATGGTGCGCTAATAGGGTATTTGCTGTCGGGGCAATCTAGCCAGGGACCATCATCGGCATTGACCATGGTGACAATTGTTACTAGTAATACTGTTTTAAAAATTAACAAATAAAATTTTTAAATTGCAAAATAATTGTAAATTGTTAAATAATACTTACTTATGTAATTCATGGTTGAACTTTGTAAGTATAATTTACTTTATAATCAATTATATTTTAATAAAATTAATTAATTTATTTTAATAAATAATTGCGCTCATCATGATCCTTATATACTCGTAAAATCTTAATATTATACACAATAAACTATAAAATAAGACATGGTAAATTGTTTCATCAGGATGAGCATTGTATTTTCTTCGAAATTGAAATAATGTAGCATAATGTTTAATTGATTATAAACACTCAGGTACTAACTAAACGTTGATATAACCAAGCTAGTTTTATGTTCAATTAGTTCTATTTTAAAACACTAAGACCTAACATTTTATTATTAAGTGTTCTAAGTTATACTAAACATAAAATTGCAATTTACATATTAAAGTATTTGTTTATCATAAATTTTACCAGGGTCAAATATAAATTAAAAATTATTATTACGAACTCACCCACAAATTAATGATACCAGATGGTTATGCACATATTAAATCAGTTTAGGTGTATTAATAATCATCATTCATGAACTTAACCTGCCATAGAATTAAGCATTCGGTACTCGTTATTATATTATTTTATATTGATTATAACTTTCTTAATCCAAAATATATTGTATTAAGTCAGATATATTGTGTCTTATGTCTGTATTGATTACATCAGTGATAATGTTGTTTTTATTTTAATTTACTGGGAAAACCTTAAGTGTATAATAGGGTATATCAATAAGATAAATAGTGATTATATTGTACAGTACAATGATAAATAAAATTTCATTTTAAAAGTAAATTTTTATGTCCGGGTTTTAAGTAATTAGTCCGCTATTGTAATCAATAGTTTAATAATATTTATAATAATATGTTTATAAAAAGCTACGTTTAATTAGAATTGTATATTTAAAATGTGTTTAAGATATTTACTTTATATCCTTAAATTTACAATAGATATTATAGAAATTAAGAATAATTATAAGTTTCATTTGTGTCTAGCAATATACAGTATAAAATTGGTTAGTATATAAAGTATTAAATAATTACATTATTAAGTAATGCACTAACTACTAGAATTATTAATTATTTAATTCTCTACGGTAAGTAATTTTTTAATAACAATAATTTAATATTTTAAAGTATCATAATAAAATAATTATATGATATTTGTTATTACTTTCCTAAAATTAATTATTACACTTAACTAAATTGCATTAACTTAATTTAACAGTTGTATTAATTTTAAAATATAGTAATATTTGTTAAAATTAAATAAATTATCTAACTATAAAAATTTATTATATAGATTTTATTAAAATAATTTTATTTTAAAATATTCATTTTTATAATTTTAAACAATTTTCTATACAATTTTATTTCACTGACACTTCAATTCGTGCCAAACGCGGGGATATTGATCGGCGATCCAATGGTTCCCACTATCTGTGCAATTAAACTCTCGATCTATGATAACATTTTTCGGGTTATCGCTCAGGAATTGGCCGAAAACGGGACGCTCTAAACGAGCAAAACTTTTTCCCTCCAACGACAAAATGGCCGACCGTCCGATGGACTCAAACGTACGGTCAGCGAACCCATGGGCGGCAATAAAATCGTCGGCGATTTCAATGGACAGTGTCTGGTAGGGTCCGGCGGCGGGTCCCACAGTGAACGCACGCTCAGCGATACTTACGTTCACTTTATTGTAGGCCAATCGCAGGCGCTGAAGGGCAGGCAGATTATCAAACGCACCCGTGCCAATTGTGGCAAAATTGTTGCTCTGTAGGATGATCTCGGTCAAATTGCGCAACCCAGCAAAAGCCAGTGTGGGTACAGAGCGTACGCCAGTGTAGGACAAAAACAGGTACTCCAACGCCGGTTGGGAACGTATGGCACCGAACAGATCCC